TACACTGTTGATTGCTTTTTTTAATCAAATTTTATTTCAGAATATTTTTGCAGTGCCTGACTTGCAATGAATTAAAAAGCAAATTATTCAGAAGGAGGGAAACAGAGAGTAAATTACAGCAGAATAATGCTAAACTGTCTGCTTTCAGGGTTAAGGAGCTGACAACACAAGGTACTCACCAGCTTGAACTTCTTGGGAGTAATAAGACTGTGTGTGGTTCAAAAATTAAAGCACATTTTATTACTTCAAAGTGATCAGACAACAGAATCCTCAGAATTAAAAACTTTTTCTACAAAAAGGGAAAGCCAAAATAAACTAAGCAAGGATTTCCCTTTCAGAAATGCCTCATCAGCAGGGCAGGCTTATTAGACATTTATAAGGCCTAATCTTAATGTCAGCAACCAAACTCTCTGAGATTAGGCAAACTAGTCCCATGTGCCTGAAGGACAGGCTACCACCACTTATAGCCATCAAGAGAGCATTTAGTCCAGGCGCAGGCAATTATTTTGGGCGGAGGGCCGTTTACTGAGTTTTGGCAAGCCATCGAGGGCCGCATGACAGGCAGCCAGGAGCAGATAAATATTAATTTTCTTAATTTTTTAGGGGTCCCGCGGGCCAGATGGAATGGCCTGGTGGGCCACATCCAGCCCACGGGCCGCTTTTTGCCCACCCGTGATTTAGTCCATAGTGCCTCTTTTGTTCAGCTGCTGCTTCTGGCTTCTTCTTATCCCTGTACCAGAGTACAGCAGGAAGCCTCTCTGACTGATCTTGCTGCAAACTCCAGCCAGTTTCTTAAAAGCAGTAATAGACTTCTTTCACACATCAGGTAAATATGCATCAATTGACTCAGATACGGTTCAAAAAGCAGAGAAGTAATTAGCAATGTTGCTCTGAAATCAAGCAGAAGGCATGGTAGATCTGCACCTTATAGCCTAAATCAGAGAGGTATAGCATAAGCTTTGGTGAAGGAAGGAGGGAAGGGAGAGGGAAATTCCTACTACCGTCTGATAAAAATAGGTAGCCAATACTTCCCTACTAGTTCAGACCATGGGACTGTAGTTATCAATGTCAGTTTGAAGTCAGGCAGAAGGCTGGGCAGGGTAGCACCTTGGATATTGACAGCTTCAGAGGCATAAGCTTTTGTAATTACTTCAGAATATTTTTACACTTTAATCCAGAAGTGACTGCAGCTCCTGTTGAGAGGTAGGCATACTCAAGATAACTTTAAATTAGCCAGCATGAGTACTGACAACAGTCCAGCCACAGCAGTCCTGCACCTACAGAGACCCTCAGTAAATATTGGGCAATGGAGGTTCAGGCTGCAGCAGCAATGCTGTTTTCGGTACTGCAGCTAGCTCAGTGTTTCTCAACCAGGGTGCCACAGCACCCTGGGATGACTTGAGATCAAGGGTGCCATGGGATGCCACACGCTATTAGAGCTGTTAGGTTGCCAACACAACTCACAGGATAAATCCAGAGATTTCAAACAGAAATACGTAGCTGCAGTCTTTCTGAGTTCTTTGCAACAGAAAAGCTGTTCTATTATTTTGTGTTTTCAAAAACAGAGTGAATACTAAGAGCTAACATTTTCTGAGAGGTATTTATCCAGGCATGAGTCTATCTAGGCATGCTGCAAGTCTACAAAGGTTGAGAACCACTGAGCTATCAAGGCAGAAGCCAGACTGGACATATTTAAACAAGCTGCAGTCATACCTATACACTGCAGTTTAGACAGACCCTGAAGTGATGGGCAGGTTTTAAGTAGGAGCAATTAGGACAAGCATTAATTAAGGAATTAAATATATCTTAAATCATCAAGTATTCTGGTGATTAAGTTTAAATGAACAGTAATTAACCTACAATTAGTGTTTTTTACATGCAGGTTATCGCAGTGATTTATACATCTAGTACAGTTGTTTGCCATATGGGGTGAAACCTACCCAGGTATTTATCTGGTAAAAATTTATCTGGTAAAATGAAAAACGTATGCTGAAATAAAATGATGATTATGATCAGAGCTTGTATGTCTAAAGAGAAATTTCTACATGGAAAAATCAATATCAAAAGTGTCAATAACATGAACAGGAATACAGTAAAACATCATATTAATTATGAAACCTTCTGAATCCTTTGCCTGTCTCTGTTAACATTATGCAGGATAAAACTATGTTACGCAAATATATGCTAAAAGTTTAACTAAAATAGGATTTAGTCTAAAATAAACAATCTAGTTTCTATTCAGTTTAATATTAGCGGGAGTTTTTTGCCTACATTTTCAAACAAAAACAGACCAATAAAACTGTGCTTCAAGGAGATGAATTGGGTAAGTACACTTCTGAAGTTTATCATGCAGCCCATATAAATACCTCTGTACCACATTCTGCCTTTATTTATTGATAGTCACCCTGTAAGTACCCTGTTAACAGACTGAAATTACATGGCACTGTCATGTAGATAGGTATCTATTGCTATATTAACCAGAGTCTTTCTTCTACTAATTCAGGATGTTTTTCTGCAAAAACACTTACTGATGTACCATTCAGCTTTTTATGCAATAAGGCTTCCATCACTTTTTTTGTAAATGTTTTTGTAAAATTACTATTCAAGTCTGCTGTAGAGACTTCTTCAGTTCCTCCTTTTTGCTAGGAAGAGTGGCAGAAACAAAATAACTGCTGCCTTATGAGGAACAGTAGACATGGGTCCCAAGGAAAGGGAAACAAAGAATCAGGTTTTGGGTGGGATATGAGAAACCCACTCTTGGGAATTTATGACAAATGTCAATATTCACTGGGGCATTAGCATCTAGGAGCAATGGGGCTAAACATGTAGTAACAAGAGAAAGCACAGAGACATGCAGGACATGCAAGGATGAAATTGTAAAGAATTTGGGGAGACAACTTAAAGACTTTGGAATGAGTGGGGGCAATCACAGGAAAGATAGCAGAGCACTAGGAAAAAAGTAATAAGGCTCATCTGGTGTCAACACATTCAAATCAGTGAAGCTACACTAATTTATACCATTTGAGGATCTTCATCTGAAGCTGAGACCAAATGTGGATAGCTTAGAATTCAGCTTGAAAAGGACCATAGGCTTTTGGTAATTTAGTTCCCATGAATTGGAAAAGACTTCCTCAGATTTCAGTCGGCTGCAATATATCATTAGAAATTTGATACAGATTATGTCAATATGTGGGGTACATGAAAACCTTCTGTGGTTGCCTCCATTTCTGTCAGAGTGGCATTTTGTCTCTATCCTACAATTCAGAGATATTTTATTAAAAATAGAGGGCACTTTTACACATGTTCCAGTGGTGGAGAGCCACTCTAATCAAAGCACCACAGTGTCTCATGTATCAGCATCAAAAAGTATCAGATTCAAAATGGCGGCGGGGGCACTTGAACTAAAGCTCATTCAATAAGCTTTAGTTCAAGCACCCCCACCACTATTTAAGTGTGGGGATGCCAATACACGAGACATGGGTGGCTGCTGGAGTGTGGTAGTTAATTACTAGAATTGCAGCACATCGGAGCAGCCTCTGCATTCGTGTAGAGGCACCCAGCGGGGTTTCAGTAAATCTCTCTCCATGGTTTTCACAACCTCACTTTCTCGAAGAAGGGGCAATGAGGCTATGGGATCACTGAATATTTTCTCTGTAAACTAGGCAACAGAGGGGCAATGTTCTAAGTCAGTGATTCTCAACCAGTGTGCCATGGCCCCCTGGGCTCTGCTGGATCCTTTGAAGGGTGCCAAATGAGATAAGTAGATAATCACAGGCCCTGCCTGGCCAATCCATGACACCCACTACCCAGACCCTCTGCAAGGAGGTAAGCATTGTAATATATAAATTAGTTTGTGAAACTGGGTGCTACTCAATTCACAAAAGTTATAGAGAGGTGCCTCAAGTCCAGTGAGGGGTGCCTTAAGTCCAAAAACATTGAGCTCTACTGTAAATGTGATATTTAATTCTGACTAACTACTCAACACTCAGGATGTAATGGAGAAATGCTCGAGTGATTAATTTTCTCATGTTATGTTTGGTATCAGACAGCACAAACTGAAATTGCATTCAGGTCTGTGGATTCAGAGAAACATGTGGTGCTAGAAACATAACTGAATGTTACTAATCTAAAACACTTTAAAAAACCCACCACTGTAAAATCTACTGTTACTAGATTCAACTGTTCCTGATGAGCAGAGATAATGGGTGACATTCAGGTGCCACTGAAATCAGTGATAAAACTTTTGATGATTTTAGTGGAATCCAGACTTTGCCAACATTTCTTCTATACACATATTCAAATGTACAAATACATACTTCACAGAAGTATGAAAAAATTGCAAAAAAAATTACTGAAACAAATGAACTGACATGATATACATTAAAAGCAGGGGTTGGCAACCAGGGGTAGGCATTACTTCAGAATATTTTTACACTTTAATCCAGAAGTGACTGCAGCTCCTGTTGAGAGGTAGGCATACTCAAGATAACTTTAAATTAGCCAGCATGAGTACTGACAACAGTCCAGCCACAGCAGTCCTGCACCCACAGAGACCCTCCTTAAATACTGGGCAATGGAGGTTCAGGCTGCAGCAGCTATGCTGTTTTCGGTACTGCAGCTAGCTCAGTGTACCGCAGAGCCCCCAGGGGGTATGCAGCAGTGGCATGGAGAAGCGAGGGGCATTTCCAGTTTTGATGCCAGCACTTCTGGGTTTGCCACTGCACGCGGGTGACCCCCTCCCTGCCACTCATCAATTGACCACTGGGGGGCCCCCTCCTCCCTGCTCATCAACTGGCCAGGGGACTCCCTGCTTCTTGATTGGCCGCTGGGGGACACCCACCAAAAAAAGGTTGAAAAACCCTGCACTGAATATTGACCAACTGGGAAATTTAACAGGATAACCTTTATTTAACTTCAGTGATGATTAAAAACAGGTTCTAATTTTAGTCTACAAATCTGATTAATGTGAGAAACAAAATTTAACAACAAATAAAACTCACCTGATAAAAATTTGGCCAAAAGGTGCTAATTGCCAGTTCCGCTCTGTTCCAAGTGCTAGTAGGAACTCCAGATGTGTTCCAGATGGGGCTACCCAGTGGACCATCATTGACCTTCACATATACATTCAGTGTACCAGGGCTGGAGCCACTCTTGCTTGAAACATAGTGATGGAAATCAATACAGTGTGTGTCATTTTCCTTTAGGTGGGGTAGTAGGAGGTGAGCCTTTTGTCCAGCAAACTTCCCTGAGGTGTTCACTAACATGAAAGAACCTGCAAAATAAACAGCCACAGACTCAGTTACTGTTTTCCTTTCTCCTTCATGCTACCATAGTCCCCACCAAAACATGATTGCAAAATATGGTTATGATTTTGCTTTTGCTCTAATAATGGCAATGAAGGAAATTAAATAAGCCTTTCACATCCAAAGACCTCAAGGTCCTTTTGTAAAGCTGAAAAAAGTGTTATCGGAGACATTTTACAGGTGGAGAAACTGAGGCACAAAGCCATGCAGGGAGTCAGTGGAAGCTAAAAACAGAATCAGATCCAGGGTTTTAACTTCTGTGGGAGCCATGTACATCCTAAGGGTGAGATAAAAGATCAGACATAAAAGTCTCCTTATTCCCAGGCCTCTTGTGACTGATGAATGCTGACTTCTATCATTTGACCTTCAGCTATATCAAGGGTCTGGAGAGAGAAACATCTGACATGCCAATTCAGCATTAACCAGCAGCTTTGGTTTGAATTTCTAAAGAAATGTATGAATGAATTTAAAAAAAAACAGATGACTAAAATTTATACTCAAAGTGATTAAAACAGCATTCACTTGTACTTAAGCTGCAAAAATATTTTTAATTTTATCAGTGTCTACAACTTCACTTCATATTCACACAAATTTGAAGACGGAAATTAGCTAACAGATGAATGGATAAAGAGGCTGTAATCGCTGCACCGCTATCTCATTAAAATGATAGGAAATGATTCTTATGGAACTCCTATTCCTTGAGAACTTAAACCCACAATGAAGACTTGTCTACTAACGTTTATATTATTTGCTACAAGGAGGGACTTAAAATCAGATTGAATTAATATCTTAAAAAGAAGACAAATTAACAGAATCCTTAAATTACTTAAGTTCTCTATTTTCCAAAAAAATGACCATAAATGTACTGTCAAAACCAGTAGGCAGTATGTAGCTAGCCAAATGATTTCATAAAAATAAAACAGAATTTTTTTAAACAACATGAGAAAATTCTGTGCAACTCCCATTAAAAATGACTTGTGCAGTTAGAAGCCTAATTCCCATTGCCACCTGAGTTTCAGTGAGATCTGGACTCCTAAGTGCCTATGGCCTTTTAAAAAAAAAAGAGCATTAAGCATTAAAAATGAACATTTTAAAAGTATTAACCCAGACTTTCCTAATTCTGTATCTGATACAGATTTTAAAATTAAGGAACATTTTCCCAGTTATGTTAAACTATTCATTAAAGCAAAAAATCTTTGAATTATTTTCCTCCTATAAAACAGTTGTCAAATTTGTTAAAACTGACAGTTAGCTGTGATCATGGGGAATTTTAACTGCTCGTGCTATTGATTACTAAGCCATTAGTATGACAACTGTGTAATACTAAATATTGTTATGGAATGGGCCATATCCCATTTTCTACTCCCATGAGTAGAAGTCACTGGAATTATTCCTTGATTAAAATGAGTGAAGGTTTAGTCTACACAATCTTTTTTAATTAATTCAACTATAATATCTAGGATTCCTAATATTGGCTTTTAATATTCATAAAGATGTTTTTAATCCATTTTTAATTTGGCAGAAAAAAAATAACATTCTTTCTAGCACTCACTGTTCTATCAAAAATCCAATTTTATGAATCACCTATTACACTGTAGTCAAATCCTTTTATGCACACACCCATGTATCCACAGATCTTTTGGGCTACTCCACGGGCCTAAATACTTAATGGTGCAGCAATATGTCTATAGCTGGGAATGGAGAGAAGCACTGCATTAGATGAGCAACCAGGAAGTATTTCCCGTGGGCATAAGTGGACTGCCTCTGGCTTCACTATGGGAGCACAACAAACGGTGATTTCTTTTGGTTTGTGCTTTGTCCCAGTGTGCACTGGTGCCTCAATTCAGAAAGCACAAGTGAGAATACAGTCATTTTCATGAATCAAGAAGGGAAGGTTCTGGCCTTCTCTCTCATGCATAGAAAGCCAATCTGTAGCATTCAATTTTATCCCCCATTTAGAAAGAATGATTTGTTTATAATTATCAATTTGGTTTTTGTGATTTTATGTATATGAATGTTCAATATAAGCTTATATTTTGAATTAAGTGGCTGCTGCTCACTTGTTGGCTGGAATCTTGAAGTGAAAAGAATTATTGAGTAGACATATTCCTAAACAGGTATGCCTTGTTAATTTTTGATAGCACATTCTCCTCATGCTTATACCATTGAAGTGCTGAATGAAAATCAAGAAGCAATAAATGGAAGAGAGGCAATTTTTAAAACAAATCCCATTGTTTTCAAATCCAACCATATGAATTGTTGTTTAAAACAGATGGGAGGGAAACTTGTTTTCTTACTACCTAGTGAGAAATTTTCATCCTGTCAGAAGCCAGCACGTATGCTATGCAGTTCAATTTACACATATGAATATTCAGATATAAGACCTTTGAGGGAAAAAATGGTTATAATGTCTTAACTGGCAAAAAATTCTTTAAAAGTGTTTATGGGCTACATTAACAAAATAATTAAAAATAAACAGATAGACTTTTTTATGTCCTAACATTTATAATGTGGCAGAGAAAAATAATCCTTATTTTCTTATATAATCATTTTTAAAGTTCACATAGGCATTCTTATAACAATATGCCATACTTTTTACATACAAGTGTTGATAAGAATAATGCAATCAATATCTACGAATATAGTAGAAACACTGTTTTTCAGGACTTGAATTAATAATTTAATATTACAAGATCTGAAATATATGAAGTCATCAGTGGGCTTAAAAAAAAAAAAAAAAGAGATACTGACAACCCATCTTGAAAAAGAACCTCTTGTTAAAAGGGAAAAAGTAAGCATTAAGGAACTTCCCAGTAAACAGAAGAAATCCTGTGGGTTCCATTTAGAAAACTGATGCAATTCTCTTTTAGAAGGGAAGTGCATCTTTAACGAGAACTAAATTAAGTTACTGTATGTGATTTAGTTGTTCTGCTAGAAAGTATTCAGCAAGTTCTATTAATTTATGAGGCAAGACGTAGCTGAGCATAAAATTAATCAAACAATTAAAAAAGTTTGCATTTAACTAATGGTGAACGTCAAGAAACAAGATACAAGTAGAATGATGGAGTCACTACTTTAGATAGGTCCTTAAGGGATGAGACTAATTTTCTACATCTGAAGTTCTTTTTGACTGACCAATTTGAAAGCTGAAATCTTCTTCTGTATTCTAAGGTCTGCAATGGTGTACTGCAATATTACATGCACTCATAAAGAAAATTTTCTGTAGATTCATGGAACTGAAACTCAGAAGAGACTATTAGATCATCTACTATGACTTGGTGTAATCAGAGGCCTTTAATACTACACTAAACATAAAAACATCTGTTTTGCTAAGTAGATCTTCCAGAAATGCATCTAGCACCAGATCCAGTAAAGAGCTTTGGCCCTTATCAGTTGAGTTCCCTAATAGCTAAATTTTAGGTTCTGGCTCCAAAGTACAATACAAAAAAAAAACAAACTGTCAGGCACCTAAGTTCTCTAAACAAGACCTGGGAAGAGTTAGGTACCTCAGGAGGTCAAGCTAAAACTGCCCACATGCTGACCAAGGAGCCACTTGGACTAGGGACAGACATGCAAAAAAGCCTGAGCCTGAATTGATTCAATCTTTGCAGGTTAGTCTAACCTGGCTACGCTGAACTGGTTTGAAACTGGGCAAACATTCTCTCTGGACAGAGGAAATTCAGGTACATGCCTGCAGTGGCTCAAGCTAGAAGCTGGGGGGTGCTAGAGCAATCCTCCCTTCCCTTCTGCAGAGAGCAGAGCTGAGGGGGGCGTGGCCAGGCCACGGCAGGACTCTCTCTTATTAGGGAGGTCTGCCTGCATGGTCCCAGGCCTTTCCCCACTGGCTGCTCAAATGGTGGGAGTGTTGCCAGCCCCCAGTCCTGGGCTAGCACTCTGAGGCAAGGGGAAGTGGGAGGGAGTTGCAGTGCATGCATTTGTTGATGATACAGAGCTTTTCAATCTCCCTCCCTGCCTCATCATACTGTCTGCAGCAAACTGACAGGCAAGCACAGCAGCTGAGGGTTGATAGTGATAAGTCTTTATCACCCAATTAGCAAAACAATGGCTTCTCTCCATTACGTCAAACTTCTTAAACAGCTTACCAGCTGACCTGTTGATTAGCTCCACACAGCCCTAAGCAATCACTGTTCTGTCTGCCTGCCCCAGTGAAATTGGAGAGAGAGAGACGCACAGACACCTCTCAGTATCAGATAGCATACCACGTGCCTAGGGTCCCTGAAGGAGATGGGGGGGGGATTTTCTGCTTGAGCAGCAAAGGGGGGGGGGGGAGGGCAGGGGGAAGCCAGGCAGACCCTGCTGTGTTTGCAGTCTCTGCTGGAGACTGCATTAGCTAACTTACCACATGCTGGCTATGGTCCGTGCTGTGACAGAGAGGAGGAAGGGACCCCTTCTTAAGCAACGAGCTGGGGGTGGGGGGAGTGAGGCACAGAGAAGACAGCAGACCCTGCTGTGCCTGCAAATCTGACACAGCTCTGGCCAGGGAACAGAGGGGAAGGGCTAGCCCCGCTGTGAAGCAGAGAGCCCTGCCCAGCCTAGAGAGCATGCTGGGATTCAGGGGGACTCTGATTTAACTTAAACCAGCAAAGAGTCTGGGACAGACATTGCATAACTGATATGGGTCAAACCAGTTTAAGTCTGGTACTACATTCAACCAGGTATACATCTAACCAGTTTCAGTCATTTTCAAACTGGTTTATGTGCACTGAACTGGTTAGTTCTGTTACAGGTTTAAATCAGTTTCTGATCACTGAAACCAATTTATGTGTAATGTCTATCCCTAGCCTTAAAGTCGCCACATTCAGCATTCTGAAGCTAGCTGGTAAGGAAACACTGAAAACAGGTATATCTTGAATCTTGCTCTTCTCTGTGGTTAGATGTGGTTATTCAGAGCTGCAGGGGGATGCTCCTGTTCACTTAAGGTTCACAGCTATAAGCTCTCTTCTGAAAA